CACTGACATCCCAAATTCAAGCTTGAATGCATGCAGAAACCCTTATCCGATTGGAACAATCCTACATACATGTACGTATCAGATCGACGCAATGCAATGCATCGGCTAGGCTCCGGCTCCACCTCGCCGACCCCCGCGTCATACACATAAGCTAGCTTCGAATCAAGCAAACTTCTTCTTCGGCAGTCCATGCGATGATGGTTTGGATCCTGGTGTTTCCTTCTCTGGCAACAGTCCATCCTGACTCCCGGCCAACTAGTCGTAGTTATGCATGGTCTGTGTCCTGAATTGCTGATAATCAACAGACGCCATGGGCGGAACTTGGTCTTTTTTTCTCCGCTGTGATAAAAGCATCCATACATGGGGCTTGCGACCTCTCCTCGAGCCGCTTTGTAGAAAAACGCTGTCGAGTAACGGTCAGGAAGAACCTCAGCCTCTCGGTAGTTGTTGACGTCTTGATTGAAGGTCGAGGGCAGTACTACATGACGCACACCTGCAGGTAGTTCGCCATTCGTCCAGCGCTCGAGTGTGTCGCTGACGTTGAGAATCATGATATTGCCTGGCTCAGGCTCAACGGGGAGAAAGTCTGGCTCATCATCATTCTTCCCGTGAGCTTGTAGATCGGAACGGTTTTGGTAGTCGGCTCGGCTCTCGATCTCTAAGCCGCACACCCCATCCTGGAAGGGACATAGGTGTGACGAGGCCAAAGTCGGCGTGAAGCCAGATTTGTGCCGCTTTGCCCTGCGTGAGAAGTGATTTTGGGAGGGATGGTAGCCAGCAGACGCAAATCACTTGCATCAGGCTTTATGCGGTTGGTAAAAGCGCCCTTGGGAAGAGAAAGGCCCGTCTCCAAGATAGCCATGATCCTAACAGCAAAGTTTTATATGGAAGTGCAGCATGATTCGACAAATAGCTGGAATCCGGGCAGCGCCGAATTTCGAATTCTAGCTACCATGTTCATCGAAACATCCCACATTGAGAATGCAGCGGCGCCTTCTGTCATTCTAAAAGATCCAACATCAGACGTTCTAACTCTTTTAAGAGTGCCAAAAACTCCGTCTAACCGGGTTTTCGATGGCTATACTATGTAGAAAGGGCTAAGGGACAAGCGCCTTCCTAAGTCATTCCACTGCGTCCGGATCCGCGTTTCGACATCGAAGTTTTACCTGCGGAAGGTTTTCTAGAATACTTCTTAGCATGACAAAAAGGTTAGGAGAACGGAGCTGTTCTTACCAGTTTTTCTTAGACGCTGCTTTGAAAACAGTATATCCGGTCACAGACGTCTCTGTAATTTGGGTATAACATGACGCCCCGCTGTCAAGGCTGAAGCATTCAGAGTATCCGTTTACACAAATAGCTATAGGTTCAGACCACACGTTGTTCAGAGTCAAGGCCCCCTGGACGCTGACTGACGGATCCGTAGGTCTAGTATACGATAGTTCGTTTGAGTTGCGACTGGTATCGACCCCATTGGAGTACGTCGTTACGCCGGATTCAAGAATATCTCCCAGGCCAGAATTATCAGTAATGGCACATAAATCGACGGCATACGCCTGTAGGATCATAGTAGAGAGAGCAAGGATATATGTCTTCATTGTGAAAAGCGAAAAATAGGCGTAGAGAAGAAGCTAGAAGACGTAGTGGATGACTGAGCTGAAAGAAGAGTTGTGATCAGGCTACAACATAGAGAAGAACCACAAGAGCTATATATGCCTGTCCGTTCACCTAAGCAGTATAAATTTACAATATAATTACAATTCTTCATTTCCATCTAATAGAAAGCCCGGAGTGCCCGAGGGTCGGATTGTAAGCAGCACGGGTACAAGATGGTCCCTTGTATAGTCACACATGTTACACATTGAGATTTTAAACTATAAAGTATGTATTAGAGACTGCTCCTGCTATGTACACTCACCAGAGCAACAGATAATGTTACTATTATTTCTGGGATATATGACCCTACTACTAAGAAGGGAATTGTGATAGCACGTATATTCCGCCTCTAAGGCAACAGATTCTGTAGGATTTTATCATAACAGTAATTACACAAAACCTAGACTAATTGAATGAAATTTGCTATCGTGTAATAGTTACTTACTAGCTAGCGTAAGGGACTAGGGTGTTTGGCAGTGATCAAAGTTGCTCTGTACAGGGGTCCCTCTACTTGATGACTTCGTTATAAGCATGTTAGTATATTAGACTTTACACGTTAAAGAAATATGGGAGGCGGGCTTCAGCAAAGTCACTTCAGCGAAGTGACTAATTTACTTGGATATGCTGCAACAATATCAGACTGACAGACATACTTAGCCACTTTCTTGACGCCTCATAACCTCTGGGCTTATCTTCAGGCTTGAAGAGGTGTCTGTCTCCTGTTTGAGCACATTTTCTGACATTAATTTAGTCTGAAGAACGAAGTTGGCGCGAATCAGTCGATGTCACGCACCCATGTCTTCCGTCGCGGACGTTCCGCAATATATAGGGATCCGTTAAGCAACACAACAGCAGTCGTACCATTATTGTCATGTTTTGAAGTATGCGTCTACTGTTTCGATCATTTTACAACTGTAGACAAATTTGAAAAGCACACTCAGTCACACAAGGAGGCTAGTAAGGGAAAAAACACTTTCATGATAGGTATATCAGACAGCCTACGTGCAACAGTCCAAGGCAAAGTGTATTGTAACCAGCCATGGCGACTACGTACTTAATTCTCTTCAAGCAGTTTCTTTATAAAAAGAATTGTTCTCCAGGCGAATGTCTGCTGTTCTCTAGTAAAGATATAATTCTGCTATATTCTTAGGGGAGGCGACCTCTTGTAGTTTTCTAGATCATTCACCACGCCAACATTTAGAGCAGCGGTGGACACTGGAGGCATACACACCATACATCATTAAAGTTGAGCAAGCGTACAGTATTTATCCCCTTGTCTAACATACATCTCCTTCTTTAATGTTTTCTAGTTAAAGCTCAGCAAAATATATAACTCACTTCAAAGCCCATCTAGCTTTAAGACCAATCACCACAACCTATGTGTACTTACCAATCGGCGTTGAGTATACAGAATTATAGCGAGAATATCCCCAGCAAGCGGCGGCATTTTATAAAATTGCACTGGCGTGTTGTCTCGCGTTCCCATAGGGCTTTCTCCGGCAGTTCCGACACAGTTAGGTCACTTCAATTACACCCCAGCCTCATCCTCGTCTCACCCAGGTTATTGCGGAAGGAGAGAAAAAGCGGCGAGACTCGGTCAGCTCACCTCATTAGCTAGAGGGTCGCCAGACGACCTGAAGAAGCTCCGAACGCAGATTCCACGCCATGGCAAAAAGCATATTAAGAATCTCTGGGCCTTTTCGGACCCCGTTGCAACGAATCAGGGTGACGTCTCTTACGGCGAGAAGGACAACTCGACGATGGCCAACGATCAAGAGATCTGCGCTTGATCTGGAGGAAATCTCGTCACTGGCCCCAACCGTCGACCAGGAGCCGGCCCGCTCCCTGTTCCCACACCCTCGGCGAGCCCCCGGCCAGGCCCGATCGGGCTGCACTCCGTGGAGATGGCCCTACACTGCGGTTGAATGTTCTAGATTTCACAGCCCGGGCGAAACACAAAGCCTGGTGGTGTGTAGGCTTCAGGGCGCGATGCGCATCTCGATGCTGCCGAGGTGGGAGGTGCGAGGCGGGGTGGGTGATGTAATTCGGACCTCATCTCGTGGCGGGCGATAACCGTGAGGGCGATAATGTGGAGAGCTGAAGTCATGCCGCAGTCTGTGCTGGGGGATTATCATGTCGGGCAGAGATTGATGTAAGACGAGGGCGACATGATGTCATGCAACGAGCCGGTGTTTAAAGAGACGGCTTCGAACCTCGATGAGAGAGGGATTGAGACAAGACAACACAACTCAGTCACAGGCCTTGGACACCGGACCACTTGGAATCATCTACCCGATTTCGTGATACCCCAACCGAACAACAGCACCCAATTCCATCATCACAACAAACATGTCTACTGTTACTCCTCACGACAAGAAGCCCCCCAGCGCTGGCACCAAGGTACGTGTTCGGGAGGAATTTTGGGCCTGCACGCACGCCTAAAAAGGTTGCCGACGATGGGGTTGCTAACAAGACCAGGTTGATCTCGGCGCCGCAGCTCCCACCCGGCCCGAAGCCCCGGGCCCCGTTCCGCCCGACTCCCTCGCAGCCGAGTCCGCGCGCCACGGCGGCGAATTTGCCAAGAACAGCGGCGTCGACCCCAACGCGTTGAAGAACACCGGTGGCGACAGCAGTAACAACTCCGCCAGGGCCGGGACGGGCGGCTCGTCGAAGGCCGACCCGGCGCCGACGTACGTGCTCAACCAGTACATCCGCGACCCCAAGGGGCCGCACGGCAAGAACATCCACGAGGGCTTCGACGACAAGAACGTCAAGGACGGCCTGCAGGAGGCGCTGCGCGCGGAGCCCGGCAGCGAGAACGACCCGGGGCGCGTGGCGGAGCGGGAGCTGCTCAAGAGCAAGCTCGGGCCCGGGCGCTACGCCGGGCCCAGGGAGACGGAGATCAGCGGCCCGATCGTGTACGAGAAGCTGGACAGCGACGTTCAGGCGTGAAAGGGGTGTTTTGCGCAGGAAGGGGGGAAATGTGTAATGACATTGTATGACTAGCATCAGAATACCCGACGGGTGATATGGAAGGAGAATAGGCCTGATTCAATTTCCAGACATGAGAATGCCGACTGTGACTGGCAGTGTTTATGATGTGCATAGATGTTTATGTCGACCTGAACGATTGTCATTCGCGAGACAATGCGGTGTCGTGTCAAGGTGCTTTTCTGATGCTGTATTACAGAGTCAAAATATTGATGTGCATTTCACAGAGCAACATGATGCTCACGAATAATAGCCCCAGCGTGTTGCTTTCATGGAGAAGAGGATTCTTTCCACTAGTGACAGTTCCTGTAGGAGCCATCATAGGTTAAACAAATTCAGTATCACCCAATAACAACGGGCGCTTGGTCTAGGGGTATGATTTTCGCTTCGCATTCTAGGTGTTACCCGGAAGCAGCTTGTGAAAGGTCCAGGGTTCAATTCCCTGAGCGTCCAATATTTTGCCTCTCTTGGAGATCATTTTTTGCGTATCAGCAAGATGAATGAGGCTTCGTCGATAAATTGACGATGGTGGTGGATGAGTGAGCAAGATGTTCATTGTGTGTGCTGATGGTGATGTAGGCCTCCAGGGTTCATCGTGAATTGAAGTGACATCCCAGTGGGGTTCGAGTTGCTTGACCTCCCTGTAAGTCATGCCTCGAAGCCTAGGAAACCTCAGATACCTAGCATGGTTTGAACACTCTATCTCTTAATGTGACATCTTGTTGAGGAAATCTCCCGTCGACAGGTTCCTACTCGCCGAGACTAAGTTGCAGCTAAGCCTCTGCATGTGATGACCGAGTGAATGGCAGGCAGGTGCGAGTCTGAGGAGACGGTAAGCGAGACGACCGACGTCCGCTTTTGGAAAGAGCAACCAACAAGGCTCGGTTAAGCAGCCGCCGACCATTCCATGCACTGCTTCAACACGGATAACCAACCATCTTCAAGACGCGATGCACAAGGGATGAATAATCAACTCTACCAGCGTGCGATACGAACGAACTCGCTTGGATGCCGTTGCAGAGTGGAGACCCCGTTTTGAGAAATACGGTTGCCTAATTTCTCTCTCGCTCTGCCAGCAAACAGTCCAAGCAAGCATCATGGCCCTGGCCTGGAGGGATGGCTTTGATTTGGAGGCGGGCTGTTTTCTCACATCAATCAATAATGGTTTAGATTGAACAAGGGCCGGACCGAACCTTGATTCGAGTGCAATCATCGTCTTTTATTCTGCAACAGCCTGCTGTCGGCCTCGCCTGTCCAGAGAGGGACGAAGACGAAGACGACGACGACGACGACGACAGTCGGAAGATAAGGGTGCAGAACGCCACATCATCCTCATCCATGCCCGCCCCCTGGCCGCGACAATGAGCGTGCCCGAGTCGCATCAGCTCGAGTGCCTCGCCTCGGACGCGGAGGGCGTCAAGCCCCCCTCGCCGACGGCCCTGGTCGACCCGGCCGACGTGCGGTGGCTGAACCGGGGCGGCCGGCGGTGCGAGGTGTGCAAGATCATCGCGCGCCTCGTCTCGACGGTGCTGTGTGCCGTCATCCTCATCCTCTCCATGGTCTGGTACGCCCGCCCGGAGCTGGACGGGTACGGTATATGGATATGGCTGGGGTTTCCGGGGGTGAGTCGGTCCTCTTTCCCTCTCTGCTCTTCCGGGTCGTCCGCATGCCCATCTACCTGCCTACTACGTCTACGGGGTAACTCGAGTGCGATCCCGTGCGCTTGCTCACGCATTGCCACCCGCCGCAGGCTTTGCCGTCCTTCATGTGGGACCTGAGCGAGTTCCTCTCCGTGTGCGCCCGCCGCGGCCGCGGCATCACGCCCAAGGCCCACATCGGCGTCGAGCTGGTGCTGTCCCTCGGGACTTACTCCGCCGGCGCGTTGCTGGCCATGCAGCTGGGCTTGCAGAAATCCAGCCAGGCCGGCCCAGTGCGCATGGATCCCTTCTCATACGCCGTCGCCCAATGCGTCTTCGTGCTCATTACCGCGTAAGTATCCCCCGGCCCTCCCTTCACCCTACCGACCACCGTCTTCCAGAGCCCGCCGACGTGTGACGTGACGCTGGATTGTCTGGGTGGGTGCTCACCACTGACGCCCTCTGGCTAGGACTATCCATCTGGCCCTGTTCATCCGCGCCTGCGTCGAGCGCGGCCGTGAGATCCGCCAGCGCAGGCCGCGCGTCATGTACATCCCCGAGACGGGGCAGACGGTCTACGTCGTCCCCAAGCCGTTCCCCGAACCGCCGACGCAGAAGCCTCAGCAGCGGCAGCAGCAACCGGCCCGTCCCCCGTCGCTCCCCCAGCCACTCGACGACGGCCCCGTCAGCAGCAGCCCGCTGCGCGACGCTTTCCAGCAACAGCAAGAGCTGCAGCAGCTCGAGATGCCGCCGTCGATCGTGGAAAGAGAAGCGGTCCCCGGGGTGCCGCCGCGCAACGTCCCAGTGGGCGACCGCGACCGGTTCCTCCGGCCAAGCATGCGGCCGCCGCCAAAGGACTACGTGCCGTCGGGGGAGGAGCTCGAGAGGGTGAGGAGGGGCGACGCGCAGCCGCAGCTGGTGATGCCGGGGGACGTGGACTTCAAGTTCGCGACGAGCGCGACGGGCATGACGCCGGCGGACGCGGGGGCGCGCGAGGGCAAGTACCGCATGAACGTGCCGCCGCCCATGTCGGCGACGCCGACGAGGGCCCGGTCGTTGTGATTGCCTGGTCCGTCTTATCTGTATTATAGTCTGCATTATATGACTTATATTGCAGACCCACCGCGCACACGCGTTCAACTACTTTGGAGGAACACTTCTGCCACCATGTTCGAGAGACGCCAGGGAACCCGGACTTGCTGTATACTTGCTTGCATATTGAGCATGTTGCTCAAGCTGTCAGAGGGCTCAGGACAGACGGGCTTACTTGCGCGAACATTCTGCAATTCCCTATTCCGCATTACATTTTATGTTTATAGCATGTCATTGACCGAACTACCAATTGTCTGATGTGATCCCATAGATATATGAATACATAGATGGATAGATATAATGCCAATATCTACTCATACATAGTAAATCCCTCAAGATCGTGGCGTGGCAGGCCGCTCCAGGCCCCGTAAGAGCACCGCCCCACCCCCACTGTAACATTACGCTGGCTGCATGTAGTTTATATGGACCATAAGCTGCTCCCCCAAACATCCAACATGGCCGTGTACGACGGCACTCAGGAAAAAACATCTACACCTATAAAGCCACGTCGGCCTCCAGAGCGACTCGAATCCCTCAATGGCGATTCGATACTGACCGCGCGCGATCGCCCCCCTCTCCTACCGTGGGCTCCGAACCCCCCCGCCCTCATTCCACACTACGATACGACACCCCCGACGATGCAGACCTTCGCTGACGAGGACGACGACCTCCCACGACGACGACAATGGACGCCATACCCATCTACCATGACATAGCGGCCGTACCGGCCAGCGTCGTCCACCACCACGGCGACTTCCTCACCGCCGTCCCCTCCCACCGGTCCATGCACCGCGCCACCCTCCTCCTCCGCGCCGCCTCGCTCTTCGCCGCCTCCGCCATCCTCGGCCTCGTCAGCTTCGCGCAGCAGCGGGACGGCGCCGGCGGCGCCGGCGACGACCTCGCCCTCGGCTCCCTGACCTACGGCACCCCGACCGCCGTCTTCGCCTGGGTCTGGAGCGCCGTCGACGTCGCCGCGCTGCTCGGGCGCGCCCGCGGACCGCCGCGGAAGCCGCCCCGCTTCGGCTGGGGCCGCCCCGGCTCCCACGTCGCCGCCCACCTGCTCGTCTGGGCGCCCACGACGGCCTTCATCGGCCTGCTCCTCGCCGACTGGTGGGCCTACGCGCGCTCCCCCGGCTGGGCCCTGCACCGCCTGAACCTGACCGCCGGCTTGATCTTCTCCATGTTTGTCCTCATGTAAGTCCGCTCTCGCCCCACGGGCATCCGTCAGGAAAGAGGAAAAAGGAAAAAAAGAAGGGAAGGAAAAAAAAAAAAGCCCAACGCCCTGGCTGACATGGGGCACTCGGAACAGGACGGTCCACTTTTCGCTCTTCGTCCTCGCCTGCGTCGAGGTCGACAAGAACAGGCGGCAGTACTCGGACGTCATCTACCTCCCGCGCGGCGGCGGCGGGGGGGGCCCGCCCGAGACCGTGCCGGTGCCGCCGACGACCCCGTGGGAGCTCTTCTCGCCGCGGCGGCTGACGCTCTCCTACTTTGCGAACCACTACGTCCGCTTCGTGCCCGGCGCCGACGGGACCGTCACCGTGGCCCGGGACTACAGTAGCCGCCAGGCGAGGTTTTGAGCGGTTGTGTTATACACACCCGCGCCGATTTCATCACACCCAAAGCGGGGAAGAGCTGGGCTGCATGGACCGCCAGCCCGAGTACCAGACCCGGCACTTCCGACCCGGACGTGTTGTCAAGCAGCGCCGGATTGCATGGTGTTTTCGAGCGAGAAGGGGATGCCAGGTCGCTTCTCGTCGCCGGTCTTTGCCGTCGGGCTGAGCCGGGCTGAGGGGGGGCCGAGTCCCGGCCCCGCATGCCGAAAGGCCAGTTGTGTGTTCGAGTGTGAGTGAACGTGTGTGTGTCAATTATTGATACGCCAATCACGTATGCAAGAGGGCATTTCAGCCAAGCCTGGCAACCACGACCGGCGAGAGGAGGCCGGCGGCTGCTGGCCGTCATGTATGAGCGGTCGTGTTCTAGGCTTACCTATGCTATGCGTAAGCTGTCTATAGCTCCGAGCCTTCTCGACGTCGGTAAGCACCGCCAGCGATCGTGAATCCGGCCTCAAAAATCATTTTTTCACTCGTTGAGGCCTTCGCTGCTTATCCACCCAGGCTGGGCTTGCCGTCTGGGTTGTATTGCTTTTGATAGTGTGAAGTAAAAATTGGTTCATTACCCAAGTAGCCCATGGTTGTTTTGCTTCTAATGTTGGACATGACGGTGTAACTTTGGTATCGCATTCCAGCTTCTGACTTCAAAGAGTTTCTGCTTGTCAACGGATCGAGTCGAATGAGTTCGGGAGGCCCTATTTAGAATCAGATGATGCCTCGATGTCTTCATTCGTATTATTCCGGTATCTGAGCAGCAGCGTCTTGGCAGCAGTCACCTATCATGTCAGGCGGAAAGGCACGTGATATGTGACGTCAAGCCCCTCGTCCCCGTTTTTGCGCTGCAGGGTGGCGTAAGAGAAGCCACTCAGCGCGGGTCATTGTACATTTGGGAGCTTCCGATTAGATAACGATGAGTGAAGGTACGGAGTACTGTGGCCTAAGCACATGCCGGAGGGGTCAAGTCGATGGATGACTCGAGGCTCAAGCCAACCAACACTGAATGAACTGATGACAGGTGAGCTCGAAAGGGAAAAGGAAAAAGCAAAAAATAAATAATTTTTTTTTTTTTTAAATCAGAATGTCTCACCAACCAGCTTCGCGTCCGAGGACA